ATTTATTTATTTATTTATTTATTTATTTATTTATTTATTTATTTATTTATTTATTTATTTATTTAATAGTAATGTTGACTTTGTTAACCATTTTAATTATCTAGAACAAAAAATAACTCGTGAAAGACGATGCAGATATTGATTGTCAGAAACGTTCATTCTATGCGCGGGCAAACATTATGCTACGTAAATATAAGAACTGCAGCCACGAAGTCAAACTTTTGCTTGTTAAAACATTCTGTTCTAGCTTGTATTGCTGCCAGTTATGGTGTATGTATAAAAAATGCCTTTCGGGTCAGTTATAATAACGCTTTTCATAAACTGTTGCGGTACGCCCGTGACTGTAGCGCAAGCACTATGTTCATTGAAAACCGGACAAACACATTTACAGGTTTATATAGAAAGCTAATTTATGCTTTTATGGATCGACTACGAATATCAAGCAACACGCTTGCCAGTGTGTGTGCCTTGCTCAAAAGTTATGTGAGATGGAGCTTTAGTGCAGCATTGGGCAAAGTTAGTCTACTTAGTTTACTATAGTTTTCAAATCTGTATGGTTTGTAATTTTATCTTATTACATATTTATTTGTAACTTTTTCTTTATATATGAACTATGTCTGAAATATAATAAATATGTGTGGCACCAAACTATAGTTTTTTATTAGTTTATACCAAAACAATATAATTCCACAGGAAGAAGAACACAATACAAACGTCACTTGGAATGCAATCAATGTTACAAGCACAATGAGTCTCAGTTTGTATCCCTTAATATGACAGGCCTCACAAGTACACACGGTTCATCTATCGTGGTTTGGAAACTGTAATAGTAGGAACAACCATTCAGGAAAAATCCTAAAATATTATAGTTTTGAATTATTATTGATATGTAATTTCCAATATTGAATTCAACACAATACGTACGTTTTTATAACTATGCGCACTGAAGATATTTATTAGTATATAGGATGGGATAATAATTCAATAATGGGCGGTAAGACGATTTCGTTTTTTCTAAAAATATTTAACAGCGAACAAACTGTGCAGGTTTAATCAATTCGTAAACAGAAAGCCATGTACAGTGGCAAAATAAATACAAGACAAACTGTATTATGTGTATATAGCGGTACGCACAGAAATCCGGTTACAAAGTTACAAACATAATTTACATTATCATCTCCACCTGTTGACAATAATTTCACTTTACTGATTTAAAAAAATACCGGTTTTAATAAATATCTAATCGATGCTAAAGTCGACCTAAGTTTTAGCAGTACAATGCAGCTTCAAAATAGACGGAGATTTTTCAAAGAAACGTTCATGAACAAACACAACGTGAGAGCTCTACATATAATATTAGTAATGTTCAGTTTTTTTTTGGGTTGAAGGCACTGTATTGTTTTCAAAAATCACGTACCGATTTTCGGACACCCGTCTGTAGAATATTATTTGAATATGTAAATACGTTAATAGTTACATTAGCTCACGGAATTCATCTCCACACACGGGTTTTCGACTTGTCTCCAATGGAATGACAAGATCGCTCGGCCAATTAAATAATTGAAATGTTCAAAACTGTTTGAATATATTGTATTAAATATATGTTATAGCTCCCATGTCAATACAGTGACGTAGAAGGTGGTTTGGGTCATACCGGCCTGTAAGGAAATGAAGAGCTACTTGTCTCTAATGGAATGAAAACAAAATGCTTGGCTAATTAAATAATTGAAATGTTCAAACGATATCAAGGCATTGTATTTTATATATTTTATAGCTTTCATGTCAAATACATGTAGTATTACGAAAGCGATATTTTAGTCGACATTTTCTTTCCAGCGTCAATAACGTACAATTATAAGGTTATTAACAAAATACCGACATTTTTAAAATACAATTATTATAGCGCTCGACGCAATAGATAACAGATCTGTGCCTGTAATAATAGATAGTTTATATTTGCTTTTTCATTTACTGACATTCAAGTAGCCATCAATCGTATGTGTGTATCCAGATATCCAACAAATTCTAAATAAATATAACATTTTACACAAACGAACATATTTATTCAACATAAATGTTTTTATATATATTTGTTTTATAAGTTACATTATATATATCACTACTGCTTGAAGTATAATTGTTATGCATCATATGGGTAAAAATATATTTGTACATTTTTAATGTGATCAATATTATGCACTTAAATGTAATTAATTAATGTAATTAATCGCAAGGCCGACCCAAGACTATTTTAGCCTGCGTCAACACTCGCCCCAAGGCTCTCCAGGACTCACTCGACTGCGTCTATCGTGCTGTGCTCCCCAAGACCAACTCAAACTCTCTTTATTCATTTTCAAATCTCTAACCAATTACAAAACAGTAAAAAGACTCTAGGGCGTAACCTTCAATCATAAAGCCAATCACACCAAGTACTGAATACGTCATATCTTTTGATTAATCGTTCACTACATTAATAACTATGGATACCAACTGTCAGAATTAATAGTCAGAATAGCGACGGTTATCTCGTAATTAGTTCCAAATCACTGAGCCAAGTTCCGTCCAAAACTTCAAATAGGCCTAAACGATGACAGACATAACACAGCAATTCGCTAATAATCAGCTAATTAAGTCGGACAACAGATACGCAAAAACAAATTCATGACAGTATCCTTCACGGACAGGATTGTTTGTGCCGAATATCATTCAACCTCGTGACACTCAATATGAATCAAAGAGTACTTCGGGCATTATAGTAAATAATGAATATATTTAAATCCCAAAACTGAGGCATACCATAAGCTTGGATATTTAAATTGCACTTAATACAAACGTCATAGTCAACATGTCACGACATGTTTATATAAAATACACGTGTAGCCTGACGACTGTGACATTTTAAAGCGGTAGTGTCGTCACCCGCGCGGGAATCGAGTCCCAAGCGATGATGACCACACACGCTAAAACGCAAAGCCTCATGGGTAGACTCTTGTTTGTAAACAAAGACACGCAATGGCCATCTGACACGCAGGTGACGACACCCCCGCTTTAATAAAGGTTTATTACATGCTACTGACAAAAAAATTTATTATATACCTGGTGAATTTATTTCCTTAACGTTTTTATATTTGAGCTTTATTAACTCTATTGACACCCGGTTTTCAATGAAATACTTTCAGCAGGATTTGAAAAGGCAATCAGAAATAGTACAGATATTTTTTACAACAATGCTTTAGGAAATGAAATACCAGGATGAGTGACCTCAATTAGATGTGGTTAATAATTAGTGTTTCTGTTTAAATGTATGTTTTATATTTGCCCACACCGTTTTAATAAAGAAAATACGCAGACAACTACGTTATATGATGCAATTGCATTTTGTCATAACAGCTGAAAAAAAACAGGCACATGTGTCGAGTCAATGAAATACTTGGTATATTTACAACATTCAATTAATTTAATTTGTTGATTTTCATCCACTGTTACCATAAGAATTATGTATATTTCTGTAACTTGTTATTGTAGTAGTGCTACAAATATATGAATGTAGATTCAACTTATTCACTAACACATTTATTTCATGTAAATGAACAAAATACATGTATATATATATTTAGAGTAAATATATCTATACACACACATATATACATAGTAAACATGAACTACGGGATTTAACTCGCGCTCACATCAGTCGCCTCGCAAGTGAGCAGCACGTCATTGTCACTGCGGCAACACACTTAGTTTAAAATTCCCAATGAGCTAATATATATATATAAACATATGCATCCCATGTATAACCATAGACAGTATAGTAGGAAGGACGCTTTTGTATCAAACTACACCTATCTCTCCATAAGTCAGTCGTTTACTTTCCGAAATTTCTTTACGTAACGAACAAGAAAACGAAAACAGCCGCCATTTTGCAATGTGTTTGCCTTCGGGACACCTCAGCCAACTCCCATTAACGAAATCAAGTAGTTTACGAGAGTTCGTGCCTCTCGCCTCCTAAAATCACGTACTATACGTGAAACCGAAATAAATATTTAGTTTACGGTCGGTTTAAATCGGCGTCACTTTTTTTCAGCCCAACCTGTTACAATGGAATCACTGGATCCGATCATCCTACCTATTGTACTGTCTACGGTACAACTCATGTAATAATAATAATATATTTGTTCAGTACCATTGGCCATGGGCCATAATGTACACAAATAAATAAATAGATCGTTTGACAAGAATAACCACTACTACTACTTGTAT